AAATGGGACGCTGATAGAGAAGTATTTACGTTTCAGTGAGTCCAGTTTCGCGATTATTAAAATTAGCAATTCACAACGGCCGGAATGTAAATTACACGGTCCTCATTAAGCCGAGCGTGCAACTAATCAATTTATATACCCGCATTTAATCCGCGTTTCCCAAACGCGATTATTCACGCTAGACGGGATCTTACAGAGCGAATTAAAAATCCAGATTAAAGCGGATACACATCCACTTAGCAACGTTATAGAGTTAATACCATATTATACAATTTCCCGGTGTGCGTCCGTCCAAGGAAGGATAGAGGCGTTGTATCGACCCGCCGGGGAATCATCGGTATCGCCACTTTCCACGTTACGCTGCAGTAATTGTGTCCCCGCCACATCCCGCATTGCGCCCACCCCGTGCACGTTCGTGCATATTCGCGAGAGGATTTCTCCCATTTAAAGTAATACTCGCGAAAAACGCGGGCGACTGCTTTTTGCGACACGGACAAGCGTATAAAAGACTGCCACTTACAGACATCCCGCCGTTGGAGAGTTGGGTAAAGAATCCTAAGTGACCGGTGACGATCGAGAAACCTGTCCCGGGACTCGACTCGTCCTCGATTGATACGGTATCCCAACCGGATGGGAACAGTCGTTCCGCGGAGATTTGCTGAAGAGGAGGACAAATCTGAGGGCGAATCCGGAGCGATTGATATCGAGAGGAAAGCCCCGAAGGCAAGGTAGTGGAAATATGACGGTGGAGGCAGCGGAAAGCTGTACGCTTTCTCTCTCTCTCTCACTCTCCCTCTCCTTCTTTCCTTCCCTCTTGGAGGCTTTATTCAGCCTGGAAGGCGCAATGAATGGAAGCTTCTACGAGCTCCGAGCGCACCTCTTCAGACCGTCTACGCGAACATCGGCAAGACTCTTTTCCTTTTTCTCGTCCCCTTTCCATCTCACTATTCGCCCGCAACGCCGCGCCTCCAAGAGAAAGAGAATTTCCTGCCTTTCCTCGCCCCCTTCCTTTTTTCCCTCGCTTCGGCAAGGTCGACTCTTCGCACCCGCGGATTTTCGCTCCACGAGCATCGCGGAAATGGCGATTCTTCGACGCATCGTCTTTCTCGCAGCGACATCAATTTGTGTCATTTCTTTTATCGCGAATAAATAAGAAAAGTCAATTGATTGCTTAAACGAGAGTAGTTTTCGTCCCTATTTTTAATGCATAGCAAAGAGCTACGTGACTTAACAAGGAAATGGTGTAAAAACCTCGAAAATCTTCCTAGGTGGGTAACAACGTCGAAGAGCTCTTCGGTGAAGCGGGAGAACAAATGTTGAAAGCACGCGGGGGATTATGGCGTAGAAAAGTAGAACATCCATAAACGGGGAAGAGTGTGAGAAAGGGAGAGTAAACGTTGAAAGAGAAAAATATCGCACGCGATGATAGCGAGCGTACGTCGGTCAGTCGGTCCAAATTTCGGGAGGGAGAAACAAAAAGAAAAGCGCAGCTTTTCCCTTCTCTTTCGACAGTACAACAAGAAGACGCCACGTTCCTCTCGGAACCAAGTCGCGATCTCCCCCCCCCCCCCGTACCCTCCGAGGAGTCAACTTTTCTCACCCTTAACGGATTACACGGTGATGGCGAGCGGAGAGTTCGATTTCCTCACTGATAAATCGCACCCTCCAGACCTTTTTCCCGAACACCAATTTATATTAAGTCAGAGAGGCATACGTGTTATGGCAGCGCCGTCCAGAAATATATACCGCGTAGGTCGGGGGGGGCGAAATTGCTCCGGCCAGGGTCAATTTCGAGAGAGGGTGAGTTCGGGGCTATTCGGCAATGTTTAGGAAAGAAGCGGACAAATCGCCGCTCGGATTGCTTTGTAGGCGCAAAATAGCTCTGAATTTTTTAAGTCTTTCGCCGAGGGCCGCCCCGAAATCTCGAGATGGAATCGAACACGCGTCTGCAATAATCTTAATGGTCATTCGTCGACACGAGGTCGGTTAACCGCTAACCGAAGGTCCACTGATTCTCTGTCTCTTCTTGAATAATAAGGTGGAAAAAGATAGGGGAGTCGACTGAACTCTGGTTAACAATTAACGTTTGTGAAACTGGCCCGAAATGCCTCTCGCTTTCGTATTTTCCTCGAACGTTATTCCTATCGCCCTTCTTAATCCGGCGAGCGCTGGCTTCGCAGCAGGCGCGGCATTTCTCGCGATATTCTCTCGCTCGAATGTTGCGATTTCAGGTAACGCGAAGCACACGTGTGGCTCGCGACGGCGGCTAATAATTTTCTCGGATTTTTCTCGTCGCGCGAGACCGTCGAAAAGTAGAGAGCGTGTACGTTTTCAAAGTAAAAGGCGGGCAACGAAAGGCTCGGGGCTTTGTCACCGAATCTCCACGCCGGCTCTCACCGTCCTCGCGCGTCGCGACGCCGCGCGTGTAAAAAGCACGTGTCCGCGCGCGAAAAAGACGAAAGGGACGCGCGAGCATTAACGATCGTCGATAGACACACAACGGTTTTGCGTTACATGTCGCGCTATTGTAATGCGCTCGCATCCTCGCCGAGATATTCGCGCGACGCGCGTGCTGTGAAAAAAAAGAAACGCGCCAGCCGCCACAGTATGATTATTTTCATTTCCGCAAATACTCTGTAAAACAGCAGCACACTCGGGCTGTTGTTTGTGACAAGAAAGAAGATGCACGTGTACCGAGCGAGTATAATTACGGTAAAATTAATTAGCATTTAATTTCTACGAAAGAAGTAATATCAAAGACGTAATATCAAAGGACGCTTTGAAAATTATTATTCGCGACGCGGACAATTCGTGATAATTAAAATGCATTTAGCGTGATTAATGTGTGTTTGGAAAGCGGCGCAAAATGATATTTTAGACGCGTCTATTCAGCCGCTAAAAAGTCAGACCGCCGGTCGGCGGGAAACGGCCTCGGCGCTCCGGCAGTTACTTTAACGAGGCTATTAAGATCGCCCTGACATTTTCAAATGGCATTGTTTGTCATGATCAAAAATGACGGTAACGTTGCGAGAAATAACGCAGCCGGTTTTGCCGATACGTCGATTTATGCCGCGCGCTAAATGGCGGTCCCTTGGTATAATTTATAAAAAGCACGTGTCGAGAGATAACCCCGGACCTTTAAAGACCGCGCCGAGTCATTACGGTTCCCGATTAAAATACGAATCGGTGGCGCGCGCGCGCGCGCGCGCGATCGGGCGAACTGGCGTCCCGGCCGAGCTATTAATCAAACCGTATCGGCATTTTTCGGTGACGCAAACTCGCGGATTCAGTTAAACAGGAATTTCGGTAAATTCCGCGGAAAATGAAAGCCTGCGCGCGGGCGTAGCGCTTTACACGTATCGCGCCGTGGTTGCTTCTGTTTGCCAGCTATACGGAAAATGATTAACGACGCGAGGAACGAGGTCGAACTTTCGGCACATCCGGCGGTTGCACGTGCAGCCGAGTGATCCGAGACACGCCCCGGCCGTTCCGGTGCGGTTTTCAGACACGCCGCCGCCGCCGACGCCGACGCCGCCGTCGTCGTCGTCGTCGTCGCACGCTCGCGTCCCCGGAAATTTCACCATTTTTTCGCCGTCCTCGTCGAAACGACATGTGACAACGTCGGGCATACGTGACGAGAGCAGGTGCGCGAGAAAAGTGCTGTTCGTCCTCCTCACCGTGGCAAAGCTTACACCGTAAACGGCTGTCGCCTCGGCGGCGAGTGCAAAATATTAATTAAGGTACGTTACCTCGCTAAAAGGTCGTATCTTACGGCCGCATTTTTCCCCACCCGTTTTCTCGCGGAAACGAATGTCGGCCCCTTATTCTTCCGGTTCTCAAGGCGTGAATTTTTTAATCTCTTGAAAATTCTAAACGTCCGCGCGAAAATTCTTCATCCCACCCTCTTTTACATCTCGTCTAAATATCACAGGTGAAATATTTACAGTCCGACCCCCGGACTATCAATTTCAACGAAACATAAATAGACTGCTTAATGGCATTCGCAAAATCATCCGGTCTTTCATCGACGCCGATCCCGTAAGTAGATCGATTAATAATCGTCAGGCCATCGGATGGCCACTTTCTCTCCGCTGCAGTTTCCATCGGCTCGAGGCGACGCGCAAGGGTTGCGCCGGGAATTAATTTTTACCCCGCGGAACTACACGTCGGGAGATAATTTCTCTTCGTCCATCGGCCGTCGATTATCTCACAACACGCACACACGAGGCTAATTAATATTTGTCGTGTCTCTCGTTAACGCGCGCCGATGATAACATGTAAAAAAAAACTTGGAGCAGCCCCCTCGCCGGAGTCCGGTATTTTTTCCTCTCGTCTCGTCAAAAATCTCCGCGAGCAAGCGTCAGTCGACTTGTCCGAAAAAACGATTCCGGCTCCCTTTGATGGACAGCCATACGTTCGTCGCAACTGCGAGGGCCGGAAGGAACGCGAGAACTCTTCGGGGAACGCGAAAGCGACCGATCAGATTTCAATGGATGCATTTCAATCGGGGTCACTGCATACGAATTTCTCTTTGGTATGCAATGATTTATGGTTCGTTGCGCGTTCTGGTTGCGGTCGGTTCGCCGCCGAGGTAGCTGGGGGAGAAAAAAAGCTCTTCTAAAAAGCTCCGCGCACGACCGCTCCGCCATCGGCGAAATGGACGGACCCAAAAGGAAGTTATCGGCGTTCCTTGTATTTTATTCCGTCGTGTTGCGTGCGTTACCGCAGTCGCCGAAAATCGAAGAGAGGAATTTTCGGGGGAGAGAACGAAATATAATGTGCGAATCGGCGGATTTTTGCGCGATCGTCCGCCTCTTGGAGAGGTTTCTCAAAATTTTTTATCAAACAACTGCAAGCGACGAGCAACAATCGTCACGATACTAATAGAATCGTTTTCGCACCTGTCCAGGTGGAAGCCCCAAAGTATTATTGCGCCCTGTGAAATCTGACGCGATATCGGACTCCGCTCGCGGTATCTTATTTTAATTAAAACCACTCACCTTCTTGGCGTCATTGTTGTTGTCGGCCGTGTGATGAGGTTGCGGACTCATTGAAGCACCATTGCTGACTGCCCCGCTTTGCGATAGAAGCTCGTCACTACCCCTCTGTAACAATAGAGAACATTCGTGAGATATAAATAACTCTGTTTTACGCGACGACTCTTCAATAAATTCCACTTTCCGCGACGTTATATTTTACGTCGGCGAGCAATAACGTAATTCAGAAATATTATCAACACGTCGCGCGCATTTTCGCATTGACTCTACGTTGCGACGATCTTGGAGTATTCTTAATTATATCATTTTCGGATAACAGCATTATACGCGAGGCGCAAGAGTATTGCAGAGTATTCACAAAATAATGTTAAGCCGGTTTAGTATTCCACGTGTACTAATCGCGTCGCTCGTCCCATTTTATCCCCGGAAGCTTTGAGGGGAATTGAAATAAATTATCGCGTTGAGCATCTTTCGATTACTTAAAAAGTGGAAGGAAGCAGCGCGGATCTTGAGCAAAATCCCATTCGATGTTTCGTCCTTAGAGCGCTGATAAATCTCGGGCTTGGCGTCAAAAGAAACGGGTCAGAAGCGTACAGCAGTAAGACGCTTTTAACACGGCTCTGAATCTAAATGCTTAACGGAGTCCCTCGAACGCAACGGAGAAACGTTGCGGTCATTCGAGCGAAGAGGGTCCTCTCGCGAGATATTAATAATTAATCCCTATGAATCTCCCTCCCTTTCGCGAATCGTCACAGGAACTTGTCCCGCCGATTCGAGATCGGTAATCGGCCTACACGCAATTGCTCACAGCGAAGAATTTACAGAATTAAGTGCGCGAAGCTATTATATTCGCAAGACGGTAATTAACAGCCGGTTTGATCGACGCTCAGTCCGCATCTTTGTGCATGTACATTTCACGGATTACCCCCGTTAAGGGGACCCTAAAGCCGCTGGCGAACTCGATCAGTATCGATAAGATAGGAGACGGAATTAAAAACGTCAATTACCGACATTTTTAATTCCAAGTTCTACTTGGCCCAAGAAATGTATAGCCAATCAATTTGCAACTTTTACGAAAAAGCAGCAATTTTATTAGCTACACATTGCTCAGACCGTGATTTTGGATAGAATTCTAGCGTTGTCGACACCATGTCTTTACTGACAATCTGACAGATGTTGCAACTATTTCTACGCGCCGTACTACTCTTTTTCTCTTCTTCTAGACGTGGATTTCTGCACTTGCGTCTATTAGAAGTAATCTTTTTTTCTAGGCTTAGTTCTAATTGCACGCTATTGTTCTTGTATGTTGTCCCCCGAGTATGCTGGTCTCATTTTGTATATATTTATTGTAGAATTCTTGTACGAAGCAAATAGTGTCGTCAAGTGTACCAAAAATTGGTAAAATTGTAAATTTCTTTTCTTTTTTGATATAAAGTCGACCAGCATAGTCTAGATTTTGCTGCGTACTTTAATTCCGTAAAAGTTTCACATTTCCATAAAGCCAATTAAAAGATTACTTCTAACAAAGCATGTCGATAAAACAGACGGTTTTAGGATTCCCTTAAACACCGTTGCATTATTCCACGAATGCTTCACGCGATATAGGAAACATGTAATTTATAAAAAGGACGCGAGTTCCTTAGAGGAATGTGACGCACTTTTCTTATTTATGGCCGAAACTCGCCTTTTCACGATTACGACTTTTCTCATTCGCATGCCATTCATTATACAGCTGCGGTTTTCTCGTCGGCGGCATTCGGCGTCAAAGGGCCGTCGCATGCATCGTGTATCGCTTAACGAAATATTTATTCTCCGCTGCACCGTCGCTGCATTTATTCACGAATTACGGGCTGTATTATGCAATCGCGGTTGGACGCGGTCTGTTAAATTTGCAAGGTGAGCTTTGACAACGTGAGCCTCGCACTGTGTCTCGCCCAGGCGAAAATGCATGAAAGATAATTCATAACTCGTAAGGAAAACCACCGGGAACTTCGGCCACGTCGAGACAGAATGCGAGATCAAAGACAGAAAAGACGAACGAAGCGGAAGGAAGCGAGCCACGAGATGTGGTGGATTCGCTCGCGGCCGAGCCCTCGGGTCCTCGGCAACAAAGAGCGAGCCCGACTTCGTTATTCTTTGGATGTTAACTGAAAAGTTGCCGGCCGATTTAAATAAGTGCATTCACTCGTTTACGAAACACCGATTTTATTATCCTTCCTTATTTCTCCCATTTTACGAGGGGATCTCTTACGATTTGAGGAGGCGAGCCAAGAAAATTGCCGTCAAAGTCTATGATTTGCGACTTCCTTCGCACGAATTAAAGAAAATTGGATATCTAATCTCCACTTTACGAAGAAACATTGCACCTTACACTTGCTCGAAATTTAACGGAAATATATTACTTTTCCCAGTTTAACGGTACGTCTCGCTCGAGGCAGCGTCGCGCGAAGTACGCGGAAGCTTATAAATTAAATGCAATGAAAAAGACACGTACACCTACATTTCAATGTACGTCATATGTACATCCCCTCGCGTCCGGCCGCGCGGAGTGCAGAAAGTCGCAAAAGTGTTTATCCCCGACTCGAAAAATAAATAAAAGTAGGGAGCTTTGCGAGCGCAATTAGGAGAACGCGTTCTCTGCGACGACGCACGTCTCATACACGGTTTATCTTGCGAAAGTACACCGCGAACGTTCTCAGCGCATTGAGTGCGCGCTGTTAGGCGGAATATCGTTCAAAGAGCGGCAGGAAGGAGCTCTTATACGGAATGGGGTCCCCGTCTCTGCGCGATCATAGAGAGAAAAAGAGAGAGGGAGCCTCGTGGGTGGAGACAAGCCGCGGAAAGGAACTCGGATTCCGTATTTTCCTCGGATATGGGGATAGGGGTTCATCCTCTCTGACCAACATCCGGCGGAGCTGTCCGCCCCGATCCCCGGTGCTCGTGTATTATTTATTTCCCGCGGACGTATGGATTATGGACCGGCCAACTCCCCTTTCGCTCCGGAGCCTCGTAACCCCCGTCACGAACTCTGCTCCCTCTCACTCTTTCCCTCTGTTTTCATCCTTCGATTCTCCACCCCCGATCGCCCGCCCCGGTTTCTTCTTTCAACTTGCCGGCTCGCGGAGTTGTTTTCTCTCGATCTTTGCGAACCGTCGAGATCTTAAATCCAGGAAGCAGCCGCTGTGTCACTCTCTCTCTCTCTCCATTTTTTGTCCTTCATGTTTCCGTTGAAAGAAAATCTCCCGTGCGACCCGGCGAAGAGCGCGCGAGCGTTTTACGTGCCCGACGACCCGCACGGAATTGTCTCAAGATCGTCCGCGCGGACGGGGTGGAGACGGACGTTGGTACGCTGAGCGAGCGTACCCGGGAAAACGATGGAGCTTCGCTCGGATGACAAACCAATCTCACGCGCCGGCTGCGGGCCCGATGAGCTCTCTCTCCGGCCGCGGACGCTATCGAGGAAGAGAGAACTCGTGACACGCTCCGTTGGGCTCATCCGGATCCGATGACTATCGGACGAATAAATACCGAATGCACGGGTGGGTGTATTAAATTGTGCTCCATCACCGAAAAGCGTAATCGGGACAGGAGTAAGGTGGAATTAAGAAATAAAGTGCAATTTTTCGATCGAGATCTAGATACCACAGACCCGTTATCGGGAGCAATCTTAGCCGTGATCCTGTTATCCCCCGCGCATGGCTACTCGTCGCTTACGAGACGGCGATTGCCTATCCGTAGGTAGGTCAATTTTCTCGGTGGGTCGTCTCGCGCGAAGGAGGACGACGGTGGCGGAAGGATGCGAAACACATGACGTGGAGCCGCTAAAATAATATTGGCCGAAGATAGTCCTGGTGATAGGCTGCCAAGGAAAGGGCTAGGCTGGCCGGAGCGAGGAGGCCATTATTGCCTTTCGAGATGGATGACCTCTGGATACACGAGCTACCGACACAACCGGGCGAAACTTTAGCCGCGAGATTACCAAGATTTTAGGACCGAGAAGAGTCGAGTCACCTCGTTTTATGGAGCAGGATTATGTACGCGAATCGTATTCCTGATATTACCGGCTCTCTACGCTCTGATGAATAAAGTTTCGTCTTCCCAACAATCACGACGAGATATTAATATCGAATGACGTCTGACGACGTAAATTTGTCCGATTGATCGACATCGCGCACCTGCGACGGGTCATCGTTATGCAACGAAGACTGAGTAACTATCGATAAAGAGTGCCAATGAGGGATAAATGCCAGTTCGTTTCGCTGACGCGCTGGAAAACTAGTAGCGAAGAAACGCTGGGTTATTAAAATAATACTTACGCAAGACAGGCCGGTATAATAAATTGAACGATCGCAGGGAAACTTAAACGAGCGAATTGTAAAAGTGTTGATCAATTGCGAGTAGACAAATTTATAAAGGTCTTTTGCAATCCTTAACTTTGGCAAGTGTCCCTCGTTTCAATTGAAATCTAACCGAATGCATTGGAAGAGGCAAGACGTAACGGGATCGCGGAATCGATTCCGACTATAATTACTAATAAGAAGAACCTTTACGCGACTTGTATCACGACTTGCCTACGAGCTGGATAATTTGACGAGAACGGAAGTTTCCCGTCGAGTCGTGATTCTCGTCGAGACCCTCCTCTACGGCAAATGACGTGGAAAGAGGGCAGAAATTAAAGCCGCTCGTTAGGATGAAACGCTTCCACGGCGATCGCCGTGCTTCGGCGTCACTGAACCGCGAACGGAGAGGCTGGGACGATCCGATATTCGAAACATACAAAGAGCCGCGAAAGTGGATCGCATCTTCTCTTTCACGGGCGTCGGAATTTCGCGAACTCGCCGGGTCAAACGGCGGATGGGAAACCGGATTATCGGGCACGATAATCGCCCGACTTGTGCATCTCCACCGTGCGCGGTTCACCTACCCCGAAATTTATTTAAGATTAACGAATTCTTCCCAAGTTCCGCCGCCGACAAATTTCCTTGACAAATTTCACTTGCCACGATTTTAATTAATTACGGAATAAAATTTCTCTCGTCTTGTGGTCCCTTGGCTTCAGACGATGCGAGAGCTGCCGCCTCGAGAGAAAAGATCAGCATGGAGAAAAA